TGGTAATAATTGGCTTTGAATTGAAGGTAAGCTCCGCCAACGCCGTCTTGTACTGGCTCACAAGCTCCTGATGCTGCAGTGGCTGCGGCACATAGCCCCCACCACCGCGATTCGGATCATCGCTCCCCACGTTTCTATCACTCACTCTGAACCTTGACAGCACTGGATTAGCTCCACCAACGGGTCTCTGCCCAAAAGCTCGGCCATTCGGGTTTTCGGCCAATCGGGGCTTCTTCAGGCCTGGTTCATTCGATCTGCTAAACGGCCTACGCGAGCTCTCCATTTCCATCACAGTCTCAGAAATCAAAACCCTAACCCTAAATCCCTAATCTTCGATTACAGTTCAGCCAAAGGCCATCAATTAAAATAACAAAAAAAAAATCAATTCAAAATATACTGCTAACAGCAAAAGGCCTAGTTATCGACACGATAATTAATAAGAAAACCCTAAGTACATGGATGATTATCAATACAAGAACTGATTCTTCTTACAGGAATACAAATTAAATTGAATAAAACAAAAACAAAATTGAAAAATCGGAGCCGAGATTGACGATTGGGGAATTGGGAATTAGGTTAGATTAAGAACAAGGCGATGAAGAAGAAGAGTGCATCTGCGTGTGAGGGAGATACATATCGGGGGAAGCCGGGAAGGTCCTCTTAAGACAACAAAAATAAATAAAGAATTAAAATTAAAACGATGAAAAAGGAAAAGGAGTTCTTTTTTTGTTTTTTTTTTTTGGAGAGAAAAACAGGAGCTTTCATGAATAGAGAAAGGAAAAAAGGTTTTTTTTTATTTCCTTTCTTCAAGCTTGTTTGAATATGATTTTAAAATAATTGAAAATAATTTTGATGAAAATATTTTTAAAAATAATTCTTAGTAAAAACGTTAGTAAATATTTGAAAAACATTAAAAGTGATTTTTAAAATAAGCACATAATTGATGTTTCTTGTAGATAACACTTAAAGTGTTTTTGAAATCCAAAATCATTTTATTTCAAAGCAATTTCAGTTTTTTAAAAGTACATCCAAATAAGTCATGCGCTGTTTGAAATTTCTTTGACAAACTTTTTAAATTTTGTTTAACATCAACAAATTTTGTTAATATTTTTAGAATGTCGATAAATTGTTCTATAATATTTTTTAAATTTCTTTTTAATTTTTTCTATTTCAAATTTTTAGAAAAATAACTATTATTGGTATCGATATCATTATATCTATCTGTATTTGTTTATTATTATTTAAATCGATATCAATATATTAAACATTAGGTGCGCCGAAGAAATAAAAAAAGATTGGGCTTAAGATGGGTCACAAAAGAAAAGATTGATGGGCCGAAGAAGGCCGAGCAAAGCAGCTTAACGAGCCCACAAAACCCTAATGTCATCAGATCAGAGTCCATAGTCGTCACCGTCGTTTTGGAATAAAACCCTAGCTTCCCCCCCCGAAGTCCTGCAACTGTATTTCTCAGAGGGTTTTACATTTTGCAGCCAACCATGTTGCAACCCCAGAAAGGAAGGGCTACAAGAGAGCCAGAGGGTTTGCAGCCAACCTTGTTGCAAGTGAGAACTCCCAAGACTGGAAAGGCCAGAAGAGAGCTAGAGAAACGTGCCCCCAAGATCGTAAGTTCCTCTCATCTGTTTGTTTCTCGGGAAAATTACGTATTTTCCCGTGTCCAAAAGCAAAATTTCAGATATTTTCAACTTGGTATTGGTTTTTTTCGATTTTTGTATTGATTTTCAAGTGGGTTTTGTATAATTTTGAAGGTTGAGACCGGGAAGAAGACGTTGATTCTTCACGGTAGGAAGACGAGCAGTGTGATTAATTCTGTGTTATCGGACCTTTACCATTTGAAGAAGGACAGTGCTGTGAAATTCAGCCGCAGGAATGAAGATATTAGCCCTTTTGAAAGTGGAGGTGATACTTCCCTTGAGTTCTTCTCTCATAAAACCGATTGCAGCATTTTCGTCGTAAGTACAAAACTACCTCAGCATTTTGCTCCTCCTGTAATTTAATTTCATGTGAGCTTGGTATGTGTACATATGTGTGTGCGTGTGTGCGCGCGCCTGTATAATGCAATTGTTTTCTGTTTGGGGTTTGAAAGGTTATTTGGATTTCGATAGTGTTGCAGTATTTGCTTAGTTTTACATGTTTAATTGCTAGCATTGATGAATGTTTGGTTGTTTTCTGTTATTTCTTTGAGCTGCCCATTAAAACGAATGCATTTCTGATAGAAATCTTTGGTTTCTATTTGTTAATATTCTTTCAGAGTTCTGGAAATCGTTGATTTTTCAGTTTATGTTTCTACAATGGACCTGCCTCATTGATCCTCTTGTGACATTTGCAATGGATCTGGTAGGCGAACAAACTGTTTTTAGGCAGATGTTTGGACATTGCAGACGCTGAATTCGTAATACAGTATAACTAAAAGCGGCTCTCAATCAATGATAATATTTGTATTTGTATACTATTTCTACCTATCATCCTTGATTTTGGAATCCCATTGCTTGTCACCCACTTGTTAGTTCCATTTTACCGTTTTAGTTGTGATTTGGACTTTACCTTGAACGCTTCAGCCTATATCTTGAATTTTATGGGTTCCAACTACATATACTCATTTTTCAAAATATATGCATGGTGGTCGATGTTTTTCCCATTTCCTGAACCGAGTTCTTGACTCGCCCTCTTTAGAATGCTGAGACCCTGTGTTGCCTAAGTACGATCAGGCACTGTATCTCATGCTTGTGTTTATTTTCCCGATTTCTTTAATGTAACTTTTAAGCTTTTAATTGCTTTTATTGCAGTTTGGCTCTCACTCAAAGAAGCGGCCTGACAATCTTGTCATAGGGAGAACTTATGATCACCATATATATGATCTCATAGAGGTTGGGGTTGAAAACTATAAACCATTGGAATCATTTACATATGACAAGAAACTAGCACCACGCGTGGGCACGAAACCTTTCGTTTGCTTTATTGGAGAAGGATTTGAAAGCGCCGGAGAACTGCAACATTTGAAGGAAGTTTTGCTTGATATGTTGCGAGGAGAGGTTTATCTCTGCTGCCATTTTGTTGATATTACTCGTGTTTGAATTTAAGAGGGATATTAATATATACATAAAAATGATATGTGCAGGTTGTAGAGAAATTAAATCTTGCTGGTTTAGACCGTGTATATATATGTACAGCTATATCTCCTAAGAAAGTGGTTCTTACTCAGTGTGCATTGCGACTGAAAAAATCTGGCACAGTAGTTCCACGGATGGAACTAGTTGAAGTTGGCCCCTCCATGGATTTAGTAGTTCGTCGGCATCGTCTTCCTAATGAAAGCCTTAGGAAAGAAGCAATGAGAGAAGGCAAAAATCAGCCCAAGAAGGTTGAATTATTAAATCTCCTCTTGATTTCTCGTGTTTCTTTTGCATGTGACATGTCTAACACAATTCCTCTTACTACTTCCAGGACAAGAATATTAAACAAGACCTACTGCGGGGCAAGGTTGGGAAAATCAACATCCCGGATCAAAAGGTAAACGGAGAAAATTGATTATTTCCTTTAGCTGTTGTTTTGTGGTCTAGAGGGCGAGCTTTAGTTTATGTGACCTGAACCATTTCTTCTCTGTTTTGCGTCGTTTTCTACCATACATTTTGCCCCAGTACGCTGATTTTAAGCATGTTTAACTAGACATAGGTTGATTCTTGCATGGCATTAACTTTTGAGCACTTATATCTGACATTTGTTAATTGTTTGACAAATTCCTTGTTTTTAGATTGGAGATACGGTGTATTATCACACAAAGGTTGGTGATACATTTGTGCCGAGCAAAACAAAGGGAGTTAAAAGGGAGCGCCGTGAAGCTAGAATGAAACACGAAGGTAATGAGCGTGCACCAAAGGTTCAAGACATGCTTGAGCCCAAGAAAACAAAAAAACTTAAAAGGGAGCGCCGTGATCCTACAGCTACTGAGGATGCCGAGTGATTCTCTTTGGACAAGCAGACAGCTTTTCGGCCAATGCTTGCAAGGATTAAAGTCAGAAGGTGTAATGGATCCGAAGGGCTTGGGATTTTTCTTCTTCCCATATCTCATAGATTCAGCTAATTATATAAGTTGCATGCCTAGCAGGAGTTATATCTGTTGTAATCATTCTGCTTTCCATTGTCGCTTCCATCCCGCGAGTTTAAATTAGTTACTGCAACAGCATTTTTGACTCGAAAGATTGCGTTATTCGACCCTCCAATGTTAGATTGGCACTATGTTATGTAATATTTCCCCTTTCTAGTTATATTTCAGGAATGTTTGCTTTCTACATTTAACTAAATATGAATTATTCAGTTGTTCAAGTGATAGCACATAAATAATGTACTTGTTATGGTGACATTGGACATCCGAATCTTCGATCTACACTAATCTTAACACATTTCACCGGCTTCAAGTTTGAACGGTCGGCTTTCCTCGAAATAATAAACAACGGCAGTCGGAGCCATGCGCGCTCCAAATCGGTTGGCTCCAAATCGGTTGGCTCCAAATCGGTGTACGAAAGGTAGAAGGTAAGTTCAGAAAGGCTAGCAGTTCAAAGCACCTCTTCACTGACGCACACCACAATGCTTCTTCGGTACTTATATTCATACCCCCAACTGGAGAAATGAAGTCGAAAAGATTGAAGTCAAATTTGTGCCGCTAAAAGTTGTCAGACCAACAAAAAGAATAAATTTAAGAGACTGACCTAATTTCTGTACCTGTTAAAACTTCTTTCTGGACTTCCACGAGCTCGAATGGGCAATCCGATACTCATGCCACGTTCCGATAGAAGTGAGCTGCGCTTCGAGAGGATAAAGACCTGCATTTTCATGGCTCAAAGTTATCTGTTAGCGACAGAACTACGAGATCAATGTAGCGTAGAACTAGAAGGAATGCAACTTATGAAATGAACGAGTACAGTTACGAAAACAACCAAATGTCACAGTGGAAATCGAAGATTAAGAAATAAAAGCGGATAATAAAGAAAGAATGAAACTTTGATATCAAATTAATATAATCATTCATAATTGTCCATATAATAGACCCCTGCAACTGAGAATGACTAGGATCCGAAAGGGCAGCTAATGCAGCCCTATGGATCAGTAGTTTTAGATGCATCTTCTTTCGGCTGGCCAGCTGAACTCTCGGGCTCATCAAATGCAGAATCATGGGCTGGAGACTTATCAATGCCTGAGCCTCCTGCTTCTTGCAGGGGACCGATATCCCAGACATCTAACAATCCGCCCGTGACTCCCATCTCTGGCACATCATAGTTGACCGGATTACCCCATAACTCATGGCTAGAACTTGACATACCAGCACTGACACCAAAACCCATGCTCCATATGTCTTCTTGTTTGATCATGCTCTCCATCCCTGGAGAAAAGAGTTCCAGAAAAGTCCTTTCATTCGCCAAATCCTCCTGGAAAGAGACATAACACTCCGGATTAGCCTCTTGTTGTGGGCTCAGAACACTCTTCCCTTTGAAAAAAGGATCTTCAGTTGCCATGCTTGATGCCCCTTCACCCTCTTGCTCTGGTGTTTTGAGAAATCCTTGTGTTGCTGCTAATTCATCTAGTGCAGGATCCGCAAATTGGAATGGCGTGCTTACTGAACCTAAATCCAGTTTTCCTGTCATAACTTGTGAAAGATGATCAGGAGATTGTTCAAAAGGAACTGGATTCGAATCCAGGGCTGTGGAGGATGTGGTTCGGTTTCTCCAAGCAGGCTGGTACTTCACAATCTGGCCTTCCATATCGGCATCTGATTTACCGAGTTCATGCTGCTGATGCTTAACAAATTTCCGCCTTACCCTTGAAGGGCCTATATCTTCCTTTCCCGTTTTTATTTGAAGTTGGGCTACGAATGCCGGGTTCTGAAGCATCTTGGCCAAGAAAGAAAACATCTGCTTCTGTCTCTTCTCTGCTGACTGAAGCCTCTGATTCACTACCTTCATATGGTCAACTGTGCCCCGGTGCTGCTGCTGCAATTCAACCAACTCCTGCATTAACACACTCCTCTCCTTCCGCAACATCTCTATCTCACCTTCCACTCCAGATTTTCCTTCTTCCGCGGAAGGCCCGATAAAGCTCCCGATTTGGAGAGACTGAGGTGACTTGCGTCTCTGGATCCTCTTCAACAAATGTCTTTGGCCCCTCTGAAAAGCTTCGTTCGCAAACTCCCACTTATCTGGGTCAACCTTGCGAAACCCCTGAATACAATACCCAAAATAATTCAAGAATGAATGGGAAAGCAACGGTACAGAAATCAAATTCAAAAGACAGATATGATTATTTAAGTAGTAAACAAATTATCACAGAAGAAAATGGAAAGCCATCAACTTTCATGCATATGAACAGCTGAACCTCGCAATACAATCCGCATTAACAAGCAGTGGTAGGGGAAGGGGAACAGTTGAGATGATAACATATGGAGATCTTAAAATCTTTTGCAGTAACATGTTTCAAAAGGAACCTGACGTCTACCTGCAGAAGATGAACTCCCCTCTCCAGTACATAGTCAGAGGGGAAGATGTTTTTCTCGGAGGACGATCCTAACTACAAAATCAATAAAAAAACGCCCTCTAGCATAAACACCTCTACCATTTCCATTACCTTCACTATACTAAGTTTCATGATAAAGACAATCCTTACAAGCATGTTATACTATCCCGAGAGATGATTACATGCCGGTTAAGGTAGAACCACAGAAACCATTATCATTATCAACAACAACAACATCATCACCATTATCCTAAACCATCATCATAATCATCATCATCATAAACAATCATCATCAACCATCATCACCATCATCAAGAACAATAAAAGCAGTAATTCATTCTTTCACTCACCTGCGTAAACTATTGGAAAACGATAATAAAATCGTCAAGAATTCCATGGAATGAATCCTTTTATTATTTCATTTTGGTAAATTACATAAGAATCTCTACACATACAACAAATTGGGAGTTAAGAATACAACACCAACTCCTACAGAGTCTTACATCGCGAGCTTAATACAAATACTAATCGCCTCGGTTACAGCTATACAAAATTAACCTCATCAAACCCAATTCAGACAACAAACAACAGATTTAAACACAGAGAAAAAAAAAACAAAAGAATTAAAGAACAAAAAACAAACAAAAAATTTACAGACAGATCATAGCAGCCAATACAGGTTGTGCTACTGCAAGATACCCACATAAGTATTAAGCTGCCGCACAAAACTTGAGAAATTGTTGTGCTTGAAGTTCCTCGGCAAGATGAGCCTGGAAAACTCCAATGGGTCCCACACCACGAAGCTGCCGCCGCTGGAGCCCCACGATATGATCGGGTCGAGCGATGGGTCCTCTACCAAATCGAAAGTCTTGGACAGAAACGGAGGCACCGGAGTGCCCTGCAGACATTCCAGAGGCCGCGGCGGAGCAACCACGTCCTCCGCATCGCCGCCGCCCATAGACGACGTCGGAATTGAAACACTTTCAGTGAAGTCGAAAGCACCCAATGGGTTTACAGAACAGAAGGCTTCGAATTCCATCAGAGGAGAAGTGGACGAAGGAATCAACTGAGAACCCATTAACGATTCCGGCATTTCCGATCGAAATGCCGACAACCCAATTGATTCCGGGTCGAATCCAACTGAAATTGGCGGAGAATTTGGGTGGCTCTCGTCTTTTGGGTCCATGGAACGAAATTCTCACTCTTTGTCAATGGCAGTGAACTGGGTGAGAGAGAGAGAGAGAGAGAGAGAGAGAGAGGTGGGTTCTGGTGAGTGGGTGAAAATGGGGGGTTCGGGGAGCGTGGGAGTGGGCATATAAGGGGGTCGAATAGTTACGCCGACTAGGTGTTCGGTAAAATTCCTGAGAGAGCGGTCAAAGGCGGTGGAGGTTTTTTTACTGTCGCAGTCATCTTCTCGGTCATCCCACCTCCGATCCATGTGGGGCTCCCTGCAATTTGAGAGCGTTTCAGCACCGACCTAGTGAGAGAGAGAGGGGGAGAGAAAGGGAAGGGGGGTGGGGGAGGAAGTTTCCGGGGAGCAACGCTTGTTTTGAAAATCAGTTATGGACGTTCTGTTCCAGAGGGGGCCCAGTGGGCTTGAGATATTTTGTCCGGACCGCGTGCCGCGTGCGTGCATCTTTGGTGGGGTTTGGTATATATTTTTGAAAATGATATGGTGGGTCGCTGTGTAATACTTGGGGATGAAGGGAGCGGGGAGGACCAATCAGGATGCGGGATTTGATCAGGGTTAGATTTGCGAGACGAGTGAGGGGTGGTTCGGTATGGGATACCATACCGAAACTAGTATCCCGAATCCCAAACCGAAATTTTTCGGGACGGGAATTTGAAGACCAATCCCAAACCAAATTTTCGGGAATCCCGAAATATTTTCGGGATTTTGGGACAAATCGGGAATCCCAAATTGAAATATGAAATTATGAATTGTTCTTCAAATATATAATTCAAGAACACATTTATGAACTAGGAATTTCATTTCATTCACACTACCATTTAATTGAACACTGGCATGCTTGACTCTTTTTATCATAGTCAAAATTCAAATTAATTAAACTCTTTTTGCAATCTGTTGAGAGACAAAAGAATCAAGCCTTCTGAAATCATCAGCCATGGCAGCAGCAATAATAAAATCCACATGAATATCAAACAGAACATGAAAAATATGCAAGGTGTAGGGCATTCTAGGTTGCTGAGCATGAATTAGAAACTACTAGCATCAATTATAAAAGAATAATATATATATGTATAAATATATATATAATAATTAATATTATATATTTTCGGTTTGGTATGGGATTCCCGAAATATCGAGAAGCCAATCCCAAATCCCATACCAAAATTTTGGGATTGGTTCGGGATAGCATCCCGAAAATTTCGGGAATTTCGGTTTGGGAAATTTTTGGTTTGGGATCGGGATTTTTTCGGTTCGGTTCGGGATTTTCGGGAATTTTTTCCACCCCTACGAGTGATAGCGTTTCGACGTCCTATTGATTGATTTAAAGACACGGAGACTATTTATGCTTCGTCACCATGTTTGTAAACAAAACAAATAATTTTTTTTAAACAAACAATATTATCTAAGGTTTGGGACCTAAGCTTCATACTGTGATAATCATAATAATGTAGTTCAAATTCACGTTTAGCGAAAATCAACCTACAACAACTTCTCGGTTACAAGTGAAGAGGAATATTAATAACCCTAATACTAAGTGACCAAGAAAACAAATTAAAAAAAAAAAAAAAAGACTTGTAGAGGAAACAAATTATGTTAATTTCCTTCCTTTGATTCCTTAATTCAATCCAACGTTTAAAAATTGAGAGAGATGTATAGATAGCACCACTCATAGGTATTTGACCAATAAATGGGTGTAAGTTACTTATTTTAATGTAATTAGTTTGGGAGTCTTTTTTTTTTTTTTTTTTGGTTAAGAGTTTGGGAGTCATGTGGTTAACTAACTAGAGCTTTCAAAATATTTTTTGCTTAATATTGTTTTTTACATAAAACACCTCTTTTTATATAGTAAAGGGAGTGAGGATATAAAACCTTTTTTTTACTAATACAAGAATGAGAGATAATAATTATTATGAGACTTGTTATTTACAAAATTCGAACCAAAGATTTTCTACTTATAAGTAAAGAGAAATATCACTTAAACCGTAATAATCATACAACACATTATGACTATTTAGAAATGCTAATACACTTGATCAATTTAAAAAGTAGGGCCTGGCCTGGATATAAGATTGAGTTTAAATAGATAAGTCACCATTTCTTAAAAGAAGAAACAAAATTTTTTGTGGTCCACGTAAGAAGTAAAATTAAGCTAAATATGTCTCCATACAACTCAATGGTTTAATTTGTCACCTCTACATGCAAAGGCAGCTCAGGCTGAAACTTACAAGCTGGTTAAAATGGTAAATTCAATTGACTAAAATTTAATTTACAAAAAGACAAAAGGGGGGTCGAATTTCATAATAATACTTTGGTCAGGTACATCGAATACATCACATAATTCAACAAGCAAAAGCAAAGGAAGCTTAAACATAATAATGTAACACCCTACATTTAATTAATAAATTGACCAAGTGGATTCCATTTGCAGACTTTTTTGGTCTGCTTTAAGTCTAATCAAAGCTAAAAAAGAATTAAAAACGCATCGCATGATGTTTATTGGTTCGGAATGCAAATTACAGAAGAAAAGCTTTGCTGCCGATTTCTCTGCTTGTCATCATCGGCGGCATTACCATACCGGAAAATCTCTCTAAAACTTGCCGGCTTTCCGATACCCATCTCTTATCGGTTAACTTTGACATAAGAACAAGATCTGCAATCCAAATGTAACACAAGGGTGACCGAAACATTAAAACATTGAGAAGAGGAGGGAAAAAAAGATAGTAATTTGTCGACGACTGGATCGCTACAGAGGCGTGCCTCCTAACAGATTTGTGCACTTGGGGCACTTTGTAATTTCGTTTTCTTCAATTTCACTAGTGGGGCAACAGCAGAAACCAGCTTCTAACTGAATGACTAGCTTTCACATTTTGTAAAGGCAAGGACAAACCATGCTGGGAAGGATGTAGTCGATTCTAGTAACGCTCTTTTACAAAATTACGAAATAGAAATTATACAACTTTCCCGAGACGAGGAGACAGAACGGTTTTTGGTAGACTTCTGTGAGAAGAGAAGAGACGGCAATGCAGACACTGTTGGCACTCATAGTTTCCTTCATTAGGTTAACGAATCAAAATGCTTAATTGGCGATAAGAGAAGAAATGTACAATGGCTCTGCAACCGGTTGATATAGAACACGCATCAGACATTTATGCATACAAGTTCAATGTACAGGAAATTGACCACAAACCAAAACTAAGAATACATATTGAAGGTAATGGCCATACCCGAGACTATGAACAGCATGCATCCACGCCACACATCAATTCTCTAACGAATGCTGTATTATGTGCATGAATAAGACTCGTTCCCATTCAGGTAAGTAATGGCATATCCGCACGACTAGGTTGAGTGACGGGAGCTTTGATCAACGGCGTCAAAGAATCCATGATACTAGCAAATGAAGGCCGTTTCCAGGGTTCGCTGCAGCATGAATTTGTTATTAGAGAAAACGGGGAAATTTGTATACAGAACTCAGTTTAAAATATTGAATTAGTGTCTCAAACTCACTTGGCCCAACAAGCCTCAATTATAGCTGCCACATTAGGATTCAAATCACGTGGAATCTCAAGCCTTTTGTTTTTAAACCCAACAGCTGCGACAACCTACGCAACATAGAATAGAAAGGCTATATATCATCATGACATTTTCACAGTCGTCAGGTCTAAAGATAATCCCTATTTCCATTTTACTAACCCACAAGAGCATAATCACCATAACACAAACCTGTGCTGGGTTTAAATTACCCCATGGCTGTTGCATTGTTGCGAGTTCCCACAATATTACACCAAAACTGTAAACATCTGACTTCTCATTTGATGGTTCATCACGCAGGACTTCTGGTGCCATCCATTCAGGCTAAAGAAAATAGAGAAGAATTTTCAATTTCCAGCAAAGCCACCATAAAATTGTAACTTCCAGGTTGTTTGTCTAATTTAAAATAAAACTTACAGTCCCGGCAGCTGATTTTGAGGAGAGGAAGGTGTTTGCCTTCAAACGGGAAAGACCAAAGTCGCAAACCTAAACCACAAAACAGGCATGAAAAATGATATAAATGATGCAGTAAGTAAACAAATGCTGGCGCACTAAGTCATGTTCATTTTCAAACGCATAAAAGTGCTTAAAGTCGAGCACATGGCAGCAAAACTTAAACTCCTGTATCATGCAGCAGTTTGATCATTCACCATGCTCAGAAACCAATTAAATAAAAATTGATGGTCCATTCCAAACGCTCAAAGCATAAGCAAACTAAATGCTGTAGGGGATCCTCACCTTCACTGTATATTTTTTGTCCACCAACAGATTTGGAGATTTTAAATCACGATGAACAATGGGAGGTTTGCGTCTATGAAGATAATTCATTCCCTTTGCCTGTGAAAAATTTCAGATCATGTACAAGAACACAATGAATAGAAACTAAAATATAAAAACTGAAAAAGAAGAATAAGAGGCGACAGAAGAACAGGTAGTCTTCATATACTCACCACATCATAAGCCATACTCAAGCGACGCCTCTCATCCAATGTCTCCTTTGCACCAGCTTTATGCAAAAGCCTATACAAGCTACCTCTGCAATTAACAGCCGACAATTCAGATCTTTAAACAATTTGTTGACATGGTATAAATGTCTAATACATATGAAAGTTCCTATTTGTGGGGGTGGCAGAGTGGGCAGGGGTGCAAAAAGAGGACATTACAAAAACCTTGATAAATATTCTGTGACTATGGACAAGTTTGGAGGTTTGGTAACTGCACCCATAAAGAGAACAATGTTTGGATGTCGCAGGCGCTTCATTATAGTAACCTAGCAGACAAAAGACGTGAAGCTTATCTCAAATTCAAGACAAAGAAAGTACAAGGAAATTATGTACTTAAAAATCTCAATGCGTCCAAATGTTCTGCCATCATGTACCTCACTCAAAAATTCTTTAAAGCGTTCGGCATGAAAATCTTGTTCCATTAGAATCTTCACAGCAACATCCTTCAATGTACAACGTTTTATCAGTATTATGAATAAATGGTTATCTCAGAAGTAATGAGGGCAGAGTGTAAATAGATTAGGTACTTACAGAGCCATGCCAATCAGCGCGATGAACAGTTCCAAAAGAACCTGCAAATGTGCAATGTTATTTTTTACAGCCTCAAACTAACTTTTATGAAATGCATTAAGTACATCAAGGGCATATGAGCTCTTCATGTTCATAATATTACTTATACCTGCACCGATTCTCTCTTTTATAATGAGATCACTCCATGGGATGTCCAAATCCTCTATATCGAACCCGAGCTCTCTACTTGGTTTACTAGGAACCAGTTGAACACCCTCAACAAACCTTGAGTCTGTAATTGTATCCACCCTTGGACCATCTCTATGCCCTACATGTGGCATACACTTTAGAGGGATTGGATCATTTACCACGGGTGGTGTGTGCAAAATATTTTGAAGAGGATTAAACAACTGGGGATTTCTATCATCACCACTTGTCCGGGGAATTTTGGCATGTGCAGAGGTGTCACCACTGAGACTTGAAATTAGGTTTTTCCCCTCTGTACTCTTCCTATCAAAGTGTTTAGGATACATATTGTCCTCTTCAACAGCACTTCCTGTGATGAGAGAAAACACCATGGGTGAACTACAATCAACATGACAGATGAATGCTAATTTACATGACAAAATATAGACAAGACCATAAAATAGTTATAACTTAGAATTATAGCTACAGGCTTAACGGGATAATGAAAGTCCAAAAGAGCTGTTGATGAATACTTATTTACAGTTCAATGTAAACATAATCACAACATAGTTAATGCTAGAACTCTATATGCCAAGGGTAAACAGACGAGGAAATTTGGAGTCACGTTAATAGATAACTGCCAATTTATACGACCCCAATGCAAGCCTAATCGGCACAACCATTACTTGAACCGTGTGCAAAGGTATAACAGAAAATAAAGCTCTTTAATTTGCTACTAGATCATAAACATTCAATTTTGCATTCTAAAAATCTCAAAACCATCTGCAGTTATCTGACATTCACATGCATCTATCCTAACCCCAAAGAATCAGTAAAAAAGAGTTAAAAGAGGTCAAACTAAATGAAGCCACCATACTAATCCTTTTGATGTACTACTTCAGTGCAGAGGGTGTCATACAAAGTTCTTGTATGTAGCAAGTTCTAGGGAAGGCGCCCTTGCATTACTTTCAGGCAACTAAAATTTAGAATAAATAAGATTATTTATTGTGTAAGAGCCTGTAGCATAGATTTATTAAATGTATGTCTCAAAATGTGAATGGATGTGTGTATGGATATAGAGATGGACACAAGTGTATTTGCATATTTTATAACAGGTACTCCAATTGTAATCATAATATAAATAATGCATCCAACCATAACTTTTCTTTTAGGATTTAGGCATCAATGTATCTTCAGTTCTGCACCATACTGTACCTGCATCCTATAATTATGTCTATATCTAATTGTATTTATTCAAGAAAAATTGTCATAAAACAAATCAACAATTGATCATATTAATAAATTGTTCATACAACACCAATTCTATATACATTATCAGCATTTCTGTGTTTTTTTTTTTTTTTTTTTGTAAATATATACTATATATCATGGCTTTGACAATCAAAGAATTACCTGCAGGAGCTTCATCAAACACAAGATTAAGCGATTGACAGTCTGAGAAATACTGTTTAGCCAGTAACCTGAAATCAATGGTAGGTTCAACTGGTTTTAGTCTTGGAAAGCGCAGTGGTGAAGAAATTGAGATGGATGATGGGCCATTGAGCAAGGAATCAGGGTCGTGCAAGTAGCCTGGAATTCCAATCAAATCGACTAAATACTCCCTGAAGTGAAACAAATACGCCATATCAGATGTTTCCACCAGTTTGATAACATGGAAATGAAATTTGGGACACACTTGATTCTCCAAATAGAGAAATATTCTCTCTAACTCTAATTTGACCATGCTCGTTTTCCTATATAATTTTTTGAACACAAAGGGGGAAAAGCTCGGTCTTGTTCAGGAAGGTGGCAACGGCTGACGAAGGACAGAAAACTAAAGGCATAGACAAAGAAATTCAAACAGATACAAATATGATGAATAACTTTTTACTGAAGCGTAACTTGAATAATTTTGCTTATGCACCAGGCAGTTCTAAAAGTAAACTGCGTTGCTAATTCAAACTATTGATAGAGACAATAGATAAAAAAATAGCATACCTGTCCAACCCAAACCGGACAAGACAAGAGGAGGCATCATCCCTTGAACAATATTGACAGCCTTTGGCAATTCGACAAGGTAAATCAATTGTGTCAGCTAGAACCTTCAAAGATAGACATGTAGCTTGTTAGTATAATACTGTTCTCAAATGAACAAAGAATAATATTAACTTATGGATCAGAAGAACAGTAGTTAACAGACAAAGATTGCCACTAGTATATATGTCAAGGTTAAATTTCCGTGTTCTTTATCAAACTAAGCCTTCAAACCAGAAGCAGAATACTTCATATTACTAACAAGAAGAAAATACAACAAATTTTGTTTATTTATTATCAAATAAACAATTACCAAGCTAAATACACTTCTTTCAAGGAAAGTAAATACATCAAATTATATAGGAGCCTTACTTTGAATAATAAGGCACGATGTCTACATAAGCCAACAGAAAGGCTGCCTATTGGAACAACTACAGATCCTAAGCAATCTTTCAGATCATCGCTGCTCTCCCTCCATATGGAAAAAATTTCATCCTCTCCTACGGAAGAGGAACCCCTTGTGATAGCAATAAAATTCAGTTACATATGAATGGAAGACATAGATATCCTAGAAAGAAATGGACAGAAGATTCAGAAGACTTACCCCATGCGACTGCACACAAGCTTTGCCAGCTGATCTACAATCTCTTTTGTATTTATGCAAGTACAGGAAATGGTTAAAACCCTATTTTGAAGCTCCTTTAGACTGGGATCACTACGTTTATCAATTAAAACCACTTCAATGCTAGAACCAATGCCAGGATCAACAGACCTTAATGATTCAATTGATGGTATACGACCATTTTCTTGCAGATCAGTGCACACAGTCCATACATACTGATCTATCCCATGAATTAGGTAAAATCCATCAGGCACTTTGTCAAAGTATGACAGACAGCCATTCACCTGTTGCACATCATATCAATAGGAAAGGATTAATACAGTTATCACCACAAAACACAAACCATTTGTACGAACAGTGTTGTTTAAAAGCAATTCTTAAACTCCATTAGCCTTCTGAAAAATTTTGGGTTGGGAAGAAAGAAAATGGAATAAATTATCTCTTGTTAGATATCTGACATGTAAATTGTAATATTCTCATAACATCATTTCCCTTAATCAACAGTTACAAGAGTCTTCTCAAGAAAAATCAACAGTTACAAGAGAAAACTCCTCCATCCCTACCTATGTACACGTATACATATTACTATACTACAATTATAGCTATTACATTAACCTAACTTCAATGACAACTGATTTTACTGTGTGAATCCCGATTCATTGGCAGCCTCAACAGGAACTTATTAGTTTCCTAGTTACTGTAAGGTCAGACCAAAATATGCAGCATATTACCAAATTCATTACCAATTATCTTCTATTTCATAACAGTTTTGTGACTCTAGTAGATCAGTTTTGCTTTAGTGATGTTCTCTCATAAACGGAGATGCAATCTGACATAGGATCAAGCAGTTTTCATAACAACTTTTTTTTTAGAAATAGAATACATCATACAATGTAAGCACTGCCCACGTGGTTAACCTGAGGTCATACACAGTTCAGTTATCAATTGCTTGCTCAACCAATACGTTATATTGTAAACAAAATCTAATCAATCGGAAACATTCTTTTCTTGTTTGGTGTGAAGCATGTGAAAGAATGCAATAATTGGATATTTGAGATAAAGGTTAGTTCTTCAATAGGATTCAGATAGGATTGGGGACAAAAATGGCGTGCATAAATTCAAACCCGGTGTTTGGAAGGCCAATGAGATAATGCAGCTTATGAATTCAAATGCCATTGAGCAATGCATAATGTCTTCACAAAAAACCCAAAATCGCTCCAGCCATTCCGTTGATAATTAAGCAGTCTACAACATTTTCCACACAATAAGCTAAGAACTCAGCTCAAATAAGCATATATATATATATATATATATATAGACCGATTCAATTAACAAAGCAAGGCAGCAAACCATGCAACTGATGAAACATAGCACCTCAACAATATCGATTGGCCATAGAAAGCAGAATAAACCTTACCCAAAACCGATGCGAAACGGCATCAACAGAGCCGGACGTCCTGGAAGCCGATTCATCCGGCACTGGATCCAAGAAGTTAGGATCATCGGCGCATGTAGCCTCCGATGAAAGCCGAAGAGCCAAAGCCAGCTGCAGCTGATAACTCTCCTCAGTCTGCTGAGCCCAGCTCTTCCTTGAAGAAGAACAACCGCCGCCACCAGTGGCCGTAACAGCTCCATCCACACCTTTCATTCGAAATTCACCCCCTCCACCACTAACCTTGAACACATCGTCCGGCACGTACCCGAACCCGTCGATCTCACTGACCGCGGCGGTGGATAGGGTCGGAGGGTAGTACTCGCCGGAAATCGAGCTCTCGGCAAAGCTGCTGCCGCTCGACTGCCTCTGCAACCCGGCAGACGAGTACGGGTTGCCGGCCCGATTCGCTTGCTGATTCGCCCGGAAATCGGCTCCGGTTTCCCAATCGAACCCTCTGTCGACTTTCCCCTTGTTGTTCTTGCTCTCCGTCTCATGAAACGCCGCCGCTTGGTCGTCGGGAACTTGGCTCAGAAGCGTGTAGTTGGATCTCCTACCGGGCATTTCCATCGAGATTTGGGACTAATCGGTTCGTCACAAAACCCTAGAAATTCTTAAACCCGCCATCTTTGAAAAAAATGAAGGTTTGAGGACTCAGAGGACTCCACAGAGAAGGTCTGAGTTTCTCTCCCTAGAATTTCCACTGTCGGAGAGAGAAAAAGCGAAAGCGGTGGTGTTTCATTCGGTGGTGTAATCGTAATTATTCTTTAATTTAATTTTTTAACTTTTCTTTTTCTTTTAATTTAATTAAAAGGTTTTGTTTTCCTTCACACGCTGGGCTCGAAGAATTTTTCTCTTTCTTTCTGTCCGTGATTAAGACTGTTTAATTGGGTTTTGGGGTAATTAATTATTGGGTTTAGTTTGGACAATTAGGTAGTGGATCTAGTGATTTTATCAACTTTTTTATGTTGAGATACATGCATTATTTTTTAATTTTGGTACATGATAATTTAGAAAGGTGGGGTTCAATTCACTGCATCTTGTTTCTTTTTAGGATAGTGCTACATATATATATATATATATATCTAGTTTTACTTCTCACACATTTTTCTTATTTTTCAATCGTCTGATTAAATGAATTAAAAAATATTAATGATAAAAATTAATAAGAATGTGTGAGAAATAAAAATACATGTGTGAATATCACTTTCCTGCTTTTATTTTGACAATTTCATTTGTTATTATGGGTTTTTTTTAAAAAAAAGAAATCTTTGCTTGGTGTTCCTTAATGAACCAGTTAGGTTATGATTCAATTAGTTAAAACTCGATAAAAGGCGATCAAAGTCCTCGCCACACTGCATATCTCAATCAAGCGATGACACTTGGAACCGCATAATTTGGTAATAAGTATTGTGCCTACGGCAGACGCTGAGTAGCTAGGTGCAGAGCAAATAGTGGTGGTGTTTAGGCATTCAAATGAATCGGGTCCATTATCATTGTGAGCTTCCCGACAAATCTTGAAAAATAAAGACGTGATAGTGAAGGGTTGGTTTCTAGAAACGACAACAACGTAGGTTACTAGGCCTATGTGGCTATCTATTTATTTTTTATCTCCAAATTTTTGCATGATTTAATATAATTCTTCACATTATTTCCCTTTTAAGTGTTTTTATTTTTTATAGGGTAGCGTTATTTATACATCCATTTTTATTTATCATGCGCCCATTTTTACTTCTCACACATCTCTCTCAACTTTTGACCTTCGAATCGAATGAATTGAAGAAGATCAATAACAAAAAATTAACAAAGATATGTGAGAAGTAAAAATAAATATAAGAATAACACTTTCCTCTTTTTATTTTGGCAGTTTCTCTTGTTATTATGGATTGTTTAAGTCAATTCTTTGCTTAGTATTTGTTAATGGCCTAATTAGTTTTTTTTTTTTTTAATGATTCAATTTGCTAAAACTCGATAAAGGGCAGTTGAATTCCTCGCAGCCTTGCATATCTCAATTGAACGACGACGCCTGGAACCGCACAGATTGGTACTATGTATTGTGTCTATAGTAGACGCTGAGTAGTCAAGTGCAGAGCTGATAATAGCGGTGCTTAAGTATTCCAATGAATTGGGTCCAAGATTATTGTGAGCGTCCCAACAAATATTAGAAAAGAAATACTTGAAATAAACGCTTTGGTTGCTAGAAACGACAGCAGTGTAAGTTACGAGACCAATACGGCCGTTTCTTTTTTATCTCCAAATATTTGCATGATTTAATGTAACTCATTACGTTATTTCCCTTCAAAGCGTTCTTATTCTTTAGTGTGATAATAACACCGTAAAATTTGTGTTGCTAATCCAATGTATAATGAGTGAATAAAATATCAATATCTCATGAACTTAGAGTATAATATAAATAAATAAGTACACGTTACATTGTGACTCATGTGAGAGTGGTGAACCCTTGCCACCCTGCATAAGCTCAATCTAGCGAAGGACACCCTGGAATCGCACAACCTGTACCATGTATTGCGTCCAAGGTAAACGTTGATCAACCAATTGCAAATCAAATAGTGGTTTGACTTGCCTCAACTTGATTGCGGGGACGATTGTGACTAAAAAAAATATATCATGTCGATGGCCACTTGCAACTTTCACGTCAAAATATTTGCACAATCTAATGCAATTCTTTTTATATTTATTATATATATTTTGATACACTAATCAATGCTAAAGTGAGGTAGGAGAGTTTGAACTTGAAGATTTAGTGAGTTGAAGAAGAATATCCTAATTACTAGTGTAATTCATCACTCACTACATTTATTGCATTTAAGCATTCTTATTCTCCGTCGTGATAGTAATATTGTGTGATTGGTGTTGCTAATTTAAATGTTATAATATAAATACTTGACAAGCTCACGAATTTTTTTTTCGAAGTGGCACGAATAATTTACGAGAATGAGAGTTTGGTGAAACATCAAAGTTGATCGTGGCCATGGTTCGCCACCAGTAGTATCATTTTTAAAAGAGAAAAGAAAAGAAATGTATATCAATAACATGTCAGTACGTTTTACTGGGGATAATATCGATCGCACATTAATTATCATCCTTAAATAGTTTTTTTAATTTTAATTTTATTTTTATTTTAAAGAATAGACGTTCACTGAATTCTGATAATTCCATTTATATTTGAAATCAACATTTTAGGATTAATCATCGTTTATGATCCCATGCACAACAGCGTAGTTAACACTCACAACTCTTTGTTATAAGTTGAAAGTAGTTAGGAGTTTTTCTCATTTTACTTTAAAATAATTTAAATTAAGAGTAAATATTTAAACTTGAATACATAGAAGACACACATAAATACGCTCTAAATAATTTGGCTTCGCCTAAGCAAGCATTGTTTATGAGAAATTATTGTATAATTATTAGAAAATAAGATAACTAACCGAAGGAAAATGAAATTCTCTATATAATTAAAAAATTATCCGAAATATTTTGTTTTAGTGCATAACGTAATGTGATATTACCAATTCACTTATGTTATAAAAATATAAAAAATAGTGTGATACTGAATTAAATGTAACAAATTTAAAATTCAATTCTCTCTAATGTAACAATTTTCTTTCAAGGTTTAAAAAATATAGACATAATGTTATAATAAAAAATAAAATTAATAAATATTTACTAGATCAAATAATCCGACATATGCGTGCCCGAGCCTTACACATCTCAATGGAGTAAATCCACAGCAGACCACAGCTCGCCACGTAACTCGTCTCACTTTAAAATCACAAAAGGAAAGAAAGATGAGAAATTTGGGAGGGAAACCGAAAAGTAAAATGGCGCTAAGGCGGCAAATGAGCGTTTCTCTTCCCCCCACCCCTTCGTATCCCCTACCCCTTCGCGTCTGCGACTGAAGAGGGAGAGGGAGAAAGCTCTTCAGTCTTCAAATCCACGATCCATCTCTTCGCGGTTCGCAAGCAGATACAAATCCGAAGGTATGCTTCGATTCGATACTGTCAAAGTCGATTTCCTTTCTCTGCAATCACATTCGATTTCATATGTTCTGCATCTTAATCAGCGTTAAAGAGAGAGAGAGAGAGAGAGAGAGAGAGAGAGAGAGAGAGAGCTATTCAGTCTTCGAATCTACGATCCACCTCTCGCGGCTCGCAAGTAGATTCAAATCCAAAAGGTACTCTTAGATTCGATTTATCGTAGTTAATTTTCTTTCTCTGTAATTGCATTCGATTTCATTTTTCTTTCTCTGCATCTTGATCGCTCTGTTGAAGATTTGGAACTTGAGCCCGGTAGTAATGCGTAGCCTGTTTGTCTGAATAATCTCGAGAGAAAAAAAATCATAGATTTGAAGCTTTTAAAACTCGAGGAAATTTCAATCTAGGAGTAATTTTTAAACATCAGAAGTTTAGGAAATGTTTCATAGATCTGAAACTTCTCGAATTGAAAATTTGATGCATTTTTTAAGCTAGGAGAAATTTCAAGGTATCAGGAATTGTCCAGTGGTGGGGAAATAGAGAAGAACAAGGTTGGCAGGGATTTGAATGAGGTTTTTGACGTAAGAAGATGAAAATGGAGTGGAAGGAGAATTGAGGGGATGAGTTTGTTAGAAGAAGAAAACTGTTTGAATGAAGAAGGGGGAAGTAAGAAGGCAAAATTAGGATTAAATTTTGAGGAGTTAGTAGTGTTCAGAGAAAAAAAATCATTTGGAGACAAAAGGCTAAAGAAAGAGGTTTTGGGAGGAATGTGAGTATTAGTAAACTCTTGCCCAAATTGCTTAGGTTTTGGCTTGTGTAGAACTCTCGCTGAGTATCAGAGCTTTCTGTGAGGATGCCGAGAATTGTCCTACATCGGAAAGTTAAGAAATCGTGCAAGAGCTTATAAGGAGTTGAATCTCTCCAATGTTAATTGGTTTATGATTGGAACCTCAACTTCGTACACTTTCATCATTAGGAAATGTCATTTTGATTACACCTGGTTTCTATAGAAGCTGCTGAAAGCTCTAGTCCTTTTTTCCCATCCATTTTGTGGTTTGGAAGGCTAAAGCTTCTCCCACGGTTTGGGTTTCGCGTTCTTTCATGAAATATTGCTCTCGTTGGGTGGATATTTGTGATTTCCTTGAGAGAACAGGACCCAATGTTTTTCTTTCTTGCCATTGGTGTATGATACGTAGGAGCGAAGCTGAAAGTGCACATCACCTTTATTCTTTATTTTCCCGTACTGTAGTATTTGCTGAGAAGCATTGGTGGCGGGGCAAAGGTTGAAAGTCCTATTGAGATGTGGAGTATTGGTCACGTTTTGGGTACTGTGATTGGAAAGAAATAGAAGGATTTTTGCTGGTTATGAGGGGGAGGGGTTGGACGTTCTGTTAGATAAAATCAGATTTAGGTCTTCTGTCCCTACAGAGTTATAAGAGTTTCCATTTTTTTTATATATTTTTATTTGGGGGGCTGGATTATGTTGTTTGAACAGTTTAGTCATGTTTGCTACTTCGCTGGATTTGGTATTTTAGTGGACATATTATCCTCCGTTTTTTAGTATGTTTAGTGTGTTCAGAGTGTCAATTTTAGCGAAACTTTGTTGCTCACAAAGAATAAAAGCTATTGGAATACTTTGCACCAGCTTGAACTATCTTTAATCTATCTTTGGCTACTAAGCTCACAACCTTGAACTAAATTTGCTCAAGAAACTAGCTAGTGTATAAAGCCGCATGGTATCGTTTGGTTATGCTGGCAGTTCTTACACAAATGGCTAAATGCCCTCTGAGTCAATTGAGCAAACAACTAAACTAGAACTCGACTCTTTACTACACGAGCCAATTTACAACTTTTGAATGCTTTGCCACTCAATGCGGGGTATGTGCGGTTCTATAGACTTGCTTTGAAACTTCTGGGTGGCTCAATGTGGGCTATGTGCTGCTCTATAGACTTGCTTTGAGACTTCTGGATGGCTATTCCTCTCTCTTATCTTTTGTTCTGACCAACTTGCTGGCTGGGAAGTGCAGTCGTGCCATTAATGGACGCGGTGCCCGCGTCTTTTGGTCAAATCCCCTCACGCAGACAAATCCTGCAAAAACACCAGCACTTTTGAACAAACAGAGATTGCTATGAAATTGCCTAGAGGCAGTTAGTGCCACAAGATTAAGTCAAATAGAAAAGTGAAATGGAGCAGATTTTGCTATTAGTTTAGCCATAAGATGCTTTACGTTCCAGTTCGTTGTAAACATAGTCTTTGTATCCGTAGATCCCTTTCTTGGGCAAGTTCAGCATTTGTCATTTTAAGTTAGGAAAGTGTAATCTACTAAGAAGCAATTAGTTTTACGTAAGGTACAAAATAATCCTGTTCATGCTTGTCCTAGTACATTCTTGGTGCGAACCAACAGAACGCTAATGAAGTGTCTTAGGTAGTTGTCAGGAGGAAGATATTACAATATCCTTAGCTCCTTGGGTAAAGATGTTAGAATAGCAACATTCCAAGGGAAGTAGATCTTATGTCCCTTTCTTACAAGTATAAGGTTTTCAATGGGTGTTGGAATGTTGAAGGGAAGTAGCCCTAATGTTTCTTTCCTACAAGTATAAGGTTTTGAATGGGTGTATAATTCAACAACAATACCCTAATGGCCACTTTGTGCATACATATAACCATTTGAAGACTGCTAGGATCACATAGAATGCGTAAATGACATTTTCTCATACCTCTCCAGAAGCAGTGCTGAATTTCTGGTGTCGATAACCCTGGCCAGAAGAAGAAGAGTATTTTGAGTTTTATTTTTAGACACATTTAAAAACAGATCAAAGCATAATATTTCACAATCTATGCCTTTAAATATTGTTGGTATTGAGGTTCCGAAGTACACGGTTCTCCTGTATAGCTTCCACAACCAAGCCCTTGGAACATCAATTGGGTTAATGCTCGAATCATGGTCTGCAAATACCTACATTGGACAGTATTTGTTATCAATATCACCTGAACGTGAAACAGATGCCTTAAGGATGTGAAAGACCTTGAGCTGAATGAAACCGTATCTCACCTCATTAACTTGAAAGTAGGTTCCGTTAAGTGGAAAGCTCCCTCTCATTGCTGTTCGGCATGGTATCTGTTCATGATCAGAACAAGTAACCACTCATCATTGTTGTCTTTACTTCTATTGGTGTGACAAGCATTTAGTTTGCTTTATCAGTTATTCATGGTTTTCATACTAGTGTCGTTTAGCATATTCTTACCAAGAGAGTCCCTCGGACTGTTTGTGAATTTGCTTCCCGTGCACAGTTGCATGAGAAACATTCCATATCGTCACACAATTTGCCAAGTTCTTGAGAACTACACCTTTTCTCTGGTGGTTGAATGGAATTTGGCGTTTCACCTGGTATGAACATCAAGGCATTTAGTGGAATTGCCCAGTAAACATATAGAAAAAGAGTCTATGTATTAACTGTGGGCAGTACCCCACCCAAGAAGCATAGAGATGCTCTATGCATGTCTCTAGTGTTGATCTTAAACCAGTTTTTATTCGTGGTTCAAATGATAATAGTAGTCACTGTGACATTGGGGACTGTTGAGTTTCATAAGGTTATGCCATCCACTTTGGAAGATTGTTCTAGACTAAACTCTCAAAAAAGGGTTGAGAACTTGGGGGTGAAAGAGGAAAATTGGATAACCAGATTTAAGAATTATTTTGTTAGTTGGTTTTTATTGTTATCTGCATACCTGGAGTCCAAATAGCCAGAAGGTAATTGCATGGATCGTCAGGTTCTCGCTTATCCATATGCAACTGTATTAAGCAAAGACATATTAAATTCGGGATAGGTACTTATTGGACTCATAAAAACCCAAAGAAGGGGTTGTTAAACATTGTTATTAGGTAGATACATAGACATTACTGACCATTTCTAGAAGAGGGTGCGTGTCAGGAAGTTCATAGCTGCATTGTGAAGAACAAGAATCAGTAGCATATAAGATGTTTGGCTTTATGTGATTATATATATGAAAATCATCATTATGTTGAAAGTTGTAGGGCTTTTGTTCCAAATGTTTTCCTTCATTTCGGAAGATGATATGTTTTTTGGATGCACAATCAATATAATTTTTGACAGCACGATGCATGATTTTTATTGGGTACCTTACCTGGCCATGTTTTTATCTTTCATCTTCCATTGCTTACTTAAACATCCATTTTATCCTAGTGATACCAAAATCTTGCATGCTAGATATTTCTTGAATTACTGGAGAGATGAAAGCTCCTACTTACACTTGGTGCTCAGTTCGCAGTCGGCTCACATTCTTAAGCTTGGGAGTTGGTAATGATGCAGCTTCTGGTGTTAGAGAGACTAAGGCTTTTGACATTTCACCTTCTTGAAGCTCCATGTTTTTTTCCATATAATTTTGCAAAGTCTGAGTGAACTCTTCAATGTTAAGTTTAATAGTCGGAATTTCGTCAGGACCATCACAGAAGTCCTCAATGTCTTCTGATATCTGTGTACACACTGGCTCTGGTGATGCTGGTTCTTCAATAATAGGTTCACAATTACCAACTGCAGATTTTGCTTCAGATATCTGGCTTGCTTCCAATTGCTGGCATGTTGTAGGTTCACAATGACCAAATGTAGATTTTACTTCTGATTTCTGGCTTGCTTCCAATTGCTGGTATGTTCCCTGAGGGAGGGGCAAGGGCATTATATTGTTGACACCAGCAGGGTTTGGATGGGTAGTTCTGTCTTCAGTTGCACTCACTATGCTTTGCTCCTCTGGTCCCGGCAGGGCAAGCCTTGCACTGCATCCAACATTCTTTGTAAGTAACTTAACAGATAATCTTACAGTAAAGTACGTTCTATGAATTGTTATTGGCAGATTTGCAGTAGGATATCTGATGTTCCTTGTTCACAATTTTGATTACATTATAATATGATTCATGAAACCTTTCATGTTGTTCCAACTACAGGCATGCTTAAGATTGTTTCCTTATGTTGATAAATCGATAATACAACTGTTACTATGCCTCAAGTGAGTCACAATGAATTTTTTATTTATACAGTTGCTTATGCCTATATCTTTTACTTATCAGGCTTAACATCCAAAAGGGATCTAATTGGTGGTGGACAAACGAATGTTATTTATTGGAACTATAATGGAGATTGTGGCTTTTAGATGCAAAGGATGGAACAATTGATCTGCAAACCTCGCAAATGCACTCGCAAAATGCCTACAATCTGTTCTCAGCGGGCATGCATTACAATTCGGCTTGCTTTTCGTGCAGAAGACCTGTGTCAAAGGATGATATTTTATTCGTTCTTAGTCTGAATGTGAAGACAAATTACTTCACATAAATAATAAGATGACATACCTTTCCAAATGTTATCATTTGGTAATGCAGCTCGTACCTGTTCACAAATATTGAAATGTTTTTGTCCAATTAGTATCCAGTTTCATGGAAGAGCTACTCTTCCAAAATCATGCTTATAAATACAATATAGTGTACTAATGTGAAGATTTTATCTGATTTTGTGTTTACAATGTTCTTTGGTCAAGCTTGCACAGTCGTGGCCACAAATACTTTTGTATGGATTCCAGCACTGGGTACCTATAAAGGACAGAAAGATCAGCTCCAATGCCGATTGGATATGCTTTGCAAAAGTAACATGGAGGCTCATAAAACTCACAGTTCAAGAAGATGCAACTGCAATGACTCAGGCAGGGGCTGAAGGGGTACCCATCCAAGCCGTACAGCTATACGTCCAACATTTGTGTCCACCTTCAAAGATACAACTATAGATTGAGATGTGTTGCATCTATTCTGGTCAGTCATATTTTTAATATATACTCACTGGAAAAGCAAGATGGTGCAGTGTCAAAAGCCGCACACATTCCACGCTTTTCAACCCCAATCCGCGAAAGCTCAGCAGATACTCTCTGTGACATATCACATAGTTATGGAATGCAAACCACGTAAGCATATTCATATTCAGTACATCATATTCGTATACAGTAGAACACAGCCGTAGCATTTTGATATGACATGCGAGGCAAGTGATTGGTTTTTGGGAATTTAATTTTTATAATTAGAAACGGGGTGGATAGTTCAGCAAGCTTACTTTGCTTGGTCAGGTGGAACGTCCCTCAACCATTCAAGATCAACACTACCGTGCTCTCTGACCAGTCGGTTAAGGAAATCCTGCACAAATTTCTCAATCAACATTAGCTGATCTAAAAAGGTTTTCTGTGTCTAGCTTGCACACTGACAAATTTGAGAATTATATTTAATGTTATTTTTACCTTGATTCGTTCTGCAAGCATATTATTCATCCCCCGCTCTTTGATGGTTTGGGCAATCTCATTAACATCTGCACATCTTACGGCTTCCCAGTCCAAGGAATCCATTGTATTTTCTGTCTTTTCTCTTTTCTTTCCATTTAATTCTGCTTGTTTCCTTAATTTGTCCCAATCTTGCTGATCGTTTTCCTCTTTTCCAGCTTTTCTGTTTTTTGTTTTGGAGGTAGCAGCATTTGTACTACTGAACTCCTTGCTAACTGAATTACTCTGCTCATTTGAACCCAACTCTGCTGCCTTCTGCATAACATCTGTGGTCCCTCCAGAAATGTTCAAGCAACTTTGCTGTATCTTATTGTTTTGCTTCTGGGAATGTAAGTCAACATTATTTGAGCTCCCAGCCAACCCGAGTTGAGACTGGGCCATATTATTGCCTACCTGAATGTTATTGCATGAATTTCCGGAACATCTTGGTGCTTCTTGAACATTCGCTGTCAGCTTATTATGTATTGTATCTTGACTGGGAGATTCTGCTGTTAGTGCACTTCTTTCACTCGGACTATCTTCACATTTATTTTTGGATGCATAAGAAGACTGGGTTACTTCTCCGTACAAATCAAAGTACTCAACTTGCCGTAATTCTGGGCTGGGGGTTAGATTCAAACAACAGTTACTGGAAGGCTCAAGGGATGCTTCTCTGTTTATCTCACATCTTTGGTCATTATGCTGCACACATGCAGGTTGGTAACCTCCACAGTTTGATACGTCATGAGAGGACATACGGGTGCTCCTGAGACTGTAATGCAGCATACTTGATTCGGCCCTCTGTAAAAGCTCCACAAACGAAGTGGAGTGATCTAAACTGCTGTTTTCACATCTATTAGGTGGATTCTCTGTTTCCGAGTTGCTCTCGCATGATCCTGTCTTTTCCACAGTTTGTGAAGTTGAAGAATCCTCAGAATTTTGAGATGAAACTCCATTGTACGTTCTCATATCCTCCTGCAGGTACAATTCTGTTCTTGTGATCTTGGTGGTTGACCTGTTAATTAATGAGTTAGGATACATTCCTGGACCAGGTTCAGATGGATGTGAAAGCTTGCATTGTGCTTCATTTGTTGAGATAACACCCTCAGTAGTGCTTCCAGAGTTATCGTGTCCGTTGACAACTTTTTCTTCACTATGCTCAGCGTCATGGAACGTTAGGGAACTCCAGTCACAACCTGGCTGGTTTGAATTCTCACTAATGCATACTTCTGGTTCATCTACTACCAAACTCGCAACTTCTTCATCGCATGATATTTCATTGCTCCTTGACTTCAGGGGAAAATGTGCAGCCATTGACATGAACGCAGAGCTGTAAGGAGGTACATATTAGAGAATTTCTCACTTGTAATTTATCTAATGTCAAATTCTCTAGTTGTTTATAGAAACGGTACTTTACCTAGACAGGTGGTCTGAGACATTTTGAGTAAGGAAAACTCCAACCACTGAGTCCACAACTGATCCCTTCCACGGAGAGAAGCGTCTATCTCCTGTTAAAGTAATATTATACTGTTAGAATATGAAGTTATAACTTATATCTAAAATTGAAGAATAGCGTTGTATTTGTATGTAAATGCATAAGGGTTCCCAAGGTGCTTGAGACTAGCATGATGGTCAGTACATGAACGTACAGAATGTATATTCTTTTTCCTCGAGTAGCTTGCAGTATGTAGAACTGTATTGCATGACATAAGATTTGAAATGACTTGTTTAATATGAATTCCCCTGAAAATGGAAGAATTTGTACCTTGCACAAGATGCATTCGTGAAATAAAATTGTCCGCACGTCCACGGAACACTTTACGCTCTTGTTCCCACCATTTTTCTTTCTCTTCGTCTGTGCCATTAATACCTTCACTGTTTATATTTTCCAGCAGAAGCTTCCATACTCTATCAGTCTCTTGATCAAGGTCAACTTTAGGTCGCGCTTTACGTTTCTTAATTGGATCAAAAGAACCATCAAATGGTACAACAGTGCCATCTCTTCTATAAAGAACCAGTGCGTTGTGCTCTTGATCTTTTGCCTTGTAAGATGAGATGACATTATACCCGTGATAGGCAAATCTGCTGCTATTTTCTCTATTAATGTCCAAACATTTGAAGTGCTCAGTAATAGCAGAAAGCAGTTGTTCGAATGGTACTCGTGGAGGAACACCTGCGATTGAAGATCAAGTAAAATTACCAAAGATGATTGGCGGAGTTGGAAACAACCTGCACACGAAAACTGACATACCTGATGCTTTGGCAAAATATGGCTGGTTCTTATATATTACAAGACCTCGTTGTGAACTGGAAAGTGGATTTCTCTTTGTCCTCTTCCTTTTTGCGAGTGTTGCACCCACATCTGTGACTAGGGCGTTAATGCATGTCTGAGATCTGTCGAATTGATTCACCCTTTGACCATTGCCATCAGTGGGTGGTTGATTGGCGAGACAGGTTCTGTGCAGAATGTGCTCTGGTGTTCTGGTTAGTGAAGCCAAGTTGCGAACCCTTGTAGGGCAACTAGATCTTCTCTTTGTTGACCTCTCTGTCTGATACAAGGGCAGGAAACTGTGAACACCTTGCGGTCTATCCTGAGGGTTATTTCCTACTTCAAGTGCAGTTGAAACATTACCAGCATTTACTTGAGGACCAGGAGTCAAGCAGCCAGCTGCCGATGGTCTCCATATGTTTTCTGCCATATTCACATGATACGAGGTGCTTGGTATGGTAGAATTTTGCACCTTATCAGTCCTCTTCTTCTTGTGTATGTATGGAAAATGCACCCATGACATCACATTGTAGTATGCCGGCAAATTATTATAGTTTGCCCCGTATAAATTTCCGGTCCTAGGATCTTCTTGCTCAACAGCACTCGAATAATTTCTCTTTGATCTTTTTGCTTGTTCTTCTATTGTCAGAACCGTAGTTGTGCTGTGGGTGGAATCATTTGCACTTCGTTGGGATGATCTAGTGTCCCGATCCAACATGGTTTGTGCAGTGTATCCACTACCAGTGCTCATTTGTCCTACTTCTTCTGCAGCCTCCTTTTGGGATTCAACATATGTAGTAGAACCTCTGGTTTGTTGTGGTTTGCTTGGAGGTTGTTGGTCTGGCAATGACAAGTAATGTTTCAGCATTCGGCTTGTAGAACGGATGAGATCTTGGGCTATGCCTGCTTGGGTGTTATCTGCCACCAATTCAACTTCATTTCTGTGTGGTGCGGTTGAATTTGTTTGAACTCCATTGGTGCCAACATTCATCTCCTGTGATTGTGAACCCACATGTAAAGACTTGCTTGAGGAACTTCCATCTCTTGGTTCTTCTGCGTCAAAATTTAAAGCCTTTCTGCAAGATCTCTTCGTAGGCTGCAGATTATTTGAATCAATATGCTCTGTAGATTCCTGCAGTGGAGCAGTTGTGCTTTTGTCGAGTGTACTCTTGCGCACATACTTTCTTTTGGGTTTTGGATTTTCCATAGAACCAGAAGGCTGTGTGTTTCTTTTTGGCTTGCCTTCTATAATCACCTTCGGCCTGTGCTTTCTCCTTCTTTGTTTCGGTTGTGGTGTCTTGTTCAAGTCGATACTGATGTTCACCTCCTTGTCAGGGCTGCAATGTTCCTGGAGCTGCGTGGAGAAAGTAGCTTGTGAGGAATCCACAGCAGATTTTTCTATATCTTTATTGTTTTCCAGATCAATGATATTAATTGTCGCAGAATTAGCATCCCATTGCTCTTCTATCTCCTGGCCTTGTCCATCGTCAGCATTGGAGCTCGGAATTCGATACATTTGTTCACTGTCTACTCTCATGGACTTATCCGGTGTTATAGGTGCAAATTGGCCATTTGTAGTCGGAGGTGGAATATTCAGATCATAAGGATGGTTGTCAGGGAATGAAAATTCATCTGCATAGAAGAAATATTGGTTCATCTACTGATCAAAGAGGTAACAAAAACAAACTACAAACTTTGTTGTTGATTTGTAGAGTTGCACTTAAAATTAACATAAGTCGACATCTTGTAAAAAAACTAGTAGTAATCAAGGAGAATTTGCTCCCCACGATAAAATTCTTACCGAAAATCAGAAATTCATACAACACATCAATACACAACTCAATTATTGCAGTCAGAATATATGACAAATGAGGTGTGTGAGAACCGTCTCATTACTTGTTCTATCATGCATAGTGCAAGTATTTAGCAGTTATTACTATCATCTAGATATCGTATTCCTGAACACTCTACCCCTTATGTAGCCTGCTATCAGTATTTTCATTTCGAATGTTTTTACTTGTTCTGACAACTATCGCATTCATGCTGTTTGTAGACACTTACCGAAACTATCCACACTAAGGCGGCTCTCCAGCCCTTAAATTCGGTGACTGCCGAGTTTACTTCTTGTACGGTAACTATATTCTTCACTTCTCAATAGACTGATGAATTTGTTTAAAATGCTTTGCTTGTGGTGTAAGATAGTAAAAATTAGAGTTCATAGCAAAAATCAAGTATAAAGCTATATATGGGACTCAACTTGCAACCAGGCGAGTACCCTTTGCGTATGCATATTCTCTCCTCACGTGAGAGAAAAAAAGTAGTATTCATGTAAGTCTCTCTCCATTTATTGGTCACTAAACAACTCCATGAAAAGTTATGGTCGACTTCAATGTGTTTTTATCTCTCATCACGTGACAAGACAAAAGGAGAGAGATAGACGTCCTATAGGCTGCGGCGAGTGGTGCCGCATACAGAAGTTTGTATGCAAGAATTTCTCCTAATAAAAATGAAAACACGTGCGTCCCGCCGTCGACCTTCTTTTAATGATTAGAAGGCCAGACGCACGTGGGTCCAAGCGCACAGATCCACGTGGATCTGGGTCAGATACACGTGGGTCCGCACGTGCGCTGGCATTTTTGTGATTTAGTAAATGTGATACAAATAACTAAAAACTCAATTGGTTGCACTTACGCTGAGTATCTCCCAGCACAGTACTACCGCTCCCATCATTTGCAGAGGCCACCGCGAGGATCATGAGCTCTTTGCAAGGGACATCTCTCCACTGTGCCACGCGGCGGAAATAAGCGTCCGTTGAAGTTTCAACGCCGCTGCCGGCTCCAACTCCATCTCCATGGTAAACAAATCCGCTCTCTTCCGCCGGATCCGGATCCAAGTCTATAACTAATCTATTCTCCTGAATTTCTTCTACCCCCAATGGTCTCGAGGACGTCGAAATTTCCGGCCGCAATTTGGTCTCCGGTCTGGTGAGAATAGGCCTGTAAGGAGTTGGTGGCATCCAACAGCAAGAACTTTGATCTCCTCCCTGTTCACCCATTCCGATCCCTCTGCCTTCAGAGGGATCCACCCACCTGTTAAGTTCTTAGATTTCTCCTCACTCACTCAATTCAGTTCCTCCAAGGCGGATTTTCGATTTCGAGATCCTTCTCTTCCCCATTTTATTGAATCACCTGCCACAGAGAAACAAAACCGCAAAATTTGAGAATTTCCAGCTGAAAAAAACCCAGCTTTGAGCTAAGAACACAACAAAACATGAGAGTTTACCCAGCTCACCATAAACATTACACCCAGCATCATCTGGTTGATAAAATTCAGATCTCTCAATCACCGAAAATTTTCAGTTTAATTAAATAAGATGGGGAAAACAGAAATCTCCACGGATAATGCCACTTTATTCTCAGCTGTTTGGTAGAATTTATTGCACAGAGAGATAAAAATATTGGCAAAATCCGAGAGGATTTATAGAGCTACCCAAAATTTGAGTGACTGCCCAGATCTCGTTCAACCCTCAGAAAGAATCAAAAATGGTGAAAAGTTAATCAGGAAGGGAGTGAAAGAAATCTGAACAGAAAAGAAAGAGGCCAAACAACACAAAGTCCCATAGAGCTGTTAGATATAACTGATGACTCCCTTTCCCGGTAAGCGATTTGATATTATATAGCAAACTAATTAACAAAAACTTTATAATGTACTCACACAGCCATGCATTCATGGCATGCACGACTAAGTATCAGACTCACTCAAAATATGTATTGTTTTTATTTTTTAGGTAAGTTAAATTTGAGACATTTTCCGATTGAATAAAGACAAAAACACTATTTTATAAAAACATATATCATTTTCGTTATTCAAATGAATCGAACTTGAGCTTGAAAGGCTTTTTGTATATTAATTGTTTTTTTTTTAATACAAGCGATAGTAAAACATGGGATTGAACGTAAGACCGCGAGTGTAGTTATAAATGCTTTATATTACTTGAGTTGCAAGTCCTCTGCTTTACGCGTAACAGTTTAGGGTAGGAAATGGAAAATGTAATTCGTACACATGGGGGGTAGTGTAATTGCTGGATACTCTCAGGGGTAAATATGTGAATTTGTTTTAGGCCAACGACCACGGCGTGTAAAGCTCAAGCCCTGACCGATAGAGGTTTTACTGGGCGAGGTTGGCACGTGCAGGCGTGGCCAAAGTCAATAACGGGTCCGGCTCAGCATGAATACGGCGTCGTTCGGTTAGAAATTGGGCGATTATTACGATGCTAATAGGCGGTGTACTTTTGGTTTATTTTTCGCCCCTAAGCGTCACGGCAAATCCCAGCTAACGGAGCCATCGGTTACGGCGTTTGTGGTCCCCTCAGTGGATAAGGAAATGGGGCACAATTTTCTAGGTGGAAGTTTTAGGTGTTGATTGAAATTGGCGCGCATGTGGCATTGATTCATGATGGTCATTTCATGGTGGGTCATTTTGTGGTGATATATAATCTTGATTAGTGCTAATTCTTCTGCTTAATATTGACGATAATTCATGATTTATCAAGTATTAGTTAACCTACTATACTATTGGGCTACCCTATTTTGAATTTGCATGCTCATGCATTTTTTGTAAGTAGTTGTGTCAGAGTTTGTTTTCGTAACGATTTGCCGTACAGGTTGTAGCGAAATTTAAGGTCGATCGAAACTTAAATGGGTCCTACATGATCGATAGATTTCAACAACTTTTTACCAGACAAAAGTCAAACATATGTATTGTTTTCATTTCACCTGTCTCATGATTGGAAGACCGTTCTGCTCTTTTTTCTATTATAAACAAATTAAATAATCATATGCGTCTTTTATTCAAAAATTTATTATATCCTTTCGTGCGAACGCACGCCGTCTTTTCTTAGAGACTAACTTTATTTAGTGTGTCTGCTTTTTCACTCACACAAATGAAAAGTCAATTGCTTTCAACTACATTAACTATCAACATATTATTGGGATCTTCAAACCGAACACATCTTCATTAGCACTATCACATCACATAGAAGCACACATACACATACATATATATATCAGGTGGTTTGTGTTTATAAAATTTTTGAATCTAAGTCACACAATAATTATCTCATAATAATTAAGTATTGAAATTATTATTATTATTATTATTATTTTAATAAATGATATTATTTATACTAAGGGATGAAAAGTGGGTTAAGTTTCATAATGGATTACAGTAACATGATTCAACTCAATATTTGACTAGATTCAAATCTAAAACTTTTTATTTACTAGTAAAGAAGAATACATATACGAGCTAAATTTTAAACTTACTGTTAGTGACATGTATCAATTTGTTTTAGAAACTACTTTTAAGTGGTAGTTAACTGGAATACAAATTTTTGGATTTGGCAATTATATTAAAAATAACAAAAGATTTTTGGTTGGTTTTTTTATTTAATTGGAAAAGAATTTCTTTTACTTCTTTTTGTTTGGATGAGGAAGGGATAGGGTTTGGTAGCTAAGATCCAAAAACCCTTAATTTTATCGAAACCGATATTTAATAGTGATGAGGTGTGTGAACATAATTTTGGTGGTTTGCTCTTCGCCAGCAGATCCCATGCCCGTTTCTCGCTCTACTTTCTCACTCCTTGCTTTGCTTGACCGTACACGCAAATGTGTCGGTCACCGCTCGTGACTCACGGCTCGAAAGCTATTTCAAAGAATCTTATCTCCCTCTTTTCCCGTTTGCTTCTGACGTTTTCTGTTGCAAAACGCTTGCGACGCTCACCCATGGCACCACCTTCTGTTCCTGCTACATGCCTCATTTCGTGACACCTGTCTAAGGGCGGCCAGGTCAGTTCACTTCATTTTTCTGACTCAAGCGATTAGAGGGAATGGAGAAATCGAACTCCAGATTGGTCTGTAATAATGGATTAGTCGTAACCAATTCAGCTACAGACGGTCAGGATTTTAAGATATCGATATAGGTGAGAATATCGGTGGATATATTAATATTACATTGATATTGTTTTTTTTTTTTTTTAATGAAACTGATGAAAGTTTAAAATGAAATTTTATGGAATGTCATACGCTGCTACGAAATATAAGAGTTTTTATGATATTTAACTGATATGTTGAAAATATCAACGAAATTTATCGACTTTAGATGAAATTTAAGAGTTTTTCTGATATGGAGTGAAATTTAAACTTCATCCATTTTTCATATGTTTATGTGATTTGTCCGATACTTTCACAAAAATATCAACCATATTGAAGAAATTTTAAACATCGCAAACAATTTGTGCTTATGTGTATTTTCCCAGTGTCATTTACGTTTTTCGCACTGAGTTTGGTTATATTAATTCTTGGTAGTTGACAACTTTAATTTGTAGTGCAATGCCCACGTACTAAAATGACGAGGATAAATATGGAACTGAAACTTAGGGTTAGGGTTAGGGTTTTGGTGTTTCTTTATTTTTTTCATTGAGGGGCAAGTGTCATCCATGCCGGCCGAACAAAACAGCAGAAGTGGCATGCATTGGTTGCTTTAGTGCTTTGTGGTTGCTTTAGTGCTTTGTGTTTGTAAGGTTTTTGGGGGAAGCAAACAAAAATGAAGAGGCCCCCAAGAAAACGATCCAAACACTCATGGCCAAAAGAGAAAATAAAATCTACAACTTGGTTGGAGGATTCCCCTACTTTATACTAGGGTTAGTGCTTAAATATCTGGTGTTTGTGTGGGGTTAGACAATTTAAGTGTGTGCACCATTTCATTGGTTTGGAATTCTTTTTGTTTCGTGGCTTAAGATTTTAGACTGCGGTCGTTCTGACATGACGGTTATAATGATTGTTTGTATATACTCTTAACATAAATTACTAAACTAATTGTCGTCGGCTTCATTGAAAATATGTATCGCCAACACTCGCCTTTACATAAAACAAAATTGTTTGTAGTTTATTGATTACGTCACTAATTGTGTTGGAACTTTTATCGTCAATGTGGATTTGACATTGATGTCCATGCAAGTAGGACAACTTTAAATAAAAACATAACTATTTGTATCATATTTACTAATGTCGTATTGTAAATTGTTTTTTTTTCACAAAGTAAGATTCATGGTTTGTATTCCCTTCTCCTTTTTCTCTTTTGTAAAACTTCAACTTCTACATGTTTAATGTTATGTAAACACAATCCAATCCTTTTTTTTTTCGCCATTATAACAAGAAGTAGTTTGAGTAACTTTGTTGCAATTTTCTTTTCGTCCCTTATTTTTTACTTGAAACTATTTTGGGCAAAAGTTCAAATGGTGTTGCACAAAAAGATTGTTACTTCATAAACGTGTACCATTTTATTGGTTAGAAATCCTTCTTTTTGTTTGGTGGCACTAGATTAAGATCACAATAGTTTTAACATGACGATTACAATAATTGTTTGAATGTACACCATCAACACGAATCATTAACATAATCGTTGTCAGCAAAATTTAAATATGTATCGTCAACACTCGTCTTTATATAGGACAAAACTGTTTCTGCTTTACTGATTACGTTGCTCATTATGATTGTAAGGTTATTGGGCGAAGCAAACAAAAATGAAGAGGCCCCAAGAAAGAGAAAATAAAATCTGCAACTTGGTTGGAGCCTTGGAGGATTCCCCTACTTTTTACTAGGGTTAGTGCTTAAATTTCTAGTATTGGTGTGGGGTTATACAACATAAATGTTTGTACTGTTTCATTGGTTTGGAGTTCTTCTTTTTGTTTGGTGGCTCAAGATTTAGACTGCGGTCGTTTTAACATGGATTACAATGATCGTTTGAATATACATTGTCAACATAAATTATTAAAATAATCATTGTCAGCTTGATTGAAAATATGTATCGTCAACATTCGCCTTTATATGAAATAAAATTGTTCATGTCACTCATTGTGTTGGAATTTTTGTCAGTACGAAGATATTAGAGATTTGTCGTCAATGCGGGATTTGACATTGGATCCATGCAAGTAGGACATCTTTAAATAAAAATAAAACTATTTGTATCATATTTACTAATGTCGTATTGCACAATGTATTTTTGCAGAAAAGTAAGATTCATGTTTTATATTCCCCTCTTCTTTTCCTCTCTTTTGTAAAACTTCAAATTCTAGTTATTTAATTTTATGTAAAAATCCAATCCTCTTTTTTTTTTTTTTTTTCTTCTTCTCAATCATAACAAGAAATAGTTTGAGTAACTCTGTTAGAATTTCATCCCTTATTTTTTTTACGTAAAACCATTTTGAATAGAAGTTCAAATGGTGTTACACAAAAAGATTAACACTTAATAAATGTGTGTACATTTCATTGGTTTGGAATCCTTCTTTCTGGCATTAGATTTAGACCGCTGCCGTTCTGACATGACAGTTACAATGATTGTTTGAATATACATTGTCAACACAAATCTTAAAAATAATCATAGTCAACGCGATTTAAAATATGTATAGTCAACACTCATCTTTATGTAAAACAAAATTTTCCGTACTTTACTAATTACGTCACTCGTTATGTCAAAACTTTTGTCGTCAATGAGAACACATTAGATACATATGTGGCAGCATAAAATATTATTGTTTGTTTATAGTACACGTACTTATAATTAGACACATCTTATACTAATGATATTATTTTCTTTTTTATTTAAATTTATACTTTATACCTGTTTTTCTGTCAATATTAAAATGTTTGTGAAACCATACATGCTCATCCAAATATTTGGGACTAATTAGGGTACAAGTTGAATTGAAAAATCATATCCCGATTTCAAAAGTTCTAAAATCTAAACATTAGGGGAAAATTGGCTGGAAATCTAGATGTACCCAGAGGAAACTTTCGATCCAATTTTTTCTTTGCCAGACTTAATTCAATCTAAAAGTCATGACATATTCTAATTTTTTATGTTTATTTACTACACTTATTTATATTATAACGAATTTTTGTATTTTTATTATGTTCAATTTTAGTTTTGTATATGTTTTGTTTCTTAACTTTAAATCTAGGGAGATTATATTCACACACCCTAAATTATTTCACCCTTTTAATTTTTTAATATATTTCTATCAAGTGTTAATGGTGTGTAGAAAATATTAAAAAATTAAAAGAGCATGGAAGAAGTCATTTGGGATGTGAACTCTAAATCTAAACATTTTGGAAAAAAAATTCGCTGGAAATTTAAACGTATATAAAGTTATAAGTATTTTTGGCTGTCAAATGATGATTTGAGTGTAAAAGTTTCGAGGCATGCACCTTCATGTAAATTCACACATGCTATAGGTAGGTATAGTGCACTGAAAAAAAATGTGGAGATATTTAATCTGTTATCTAATATATAGATTCCGACAAAAGTAAATCCATTAGTTGGCCTTCAGTTGGGAGGATACTTAGAGAAAATTTATTGAGGAATGTTAAGATGATTTTGTTAAAGTGAACTTCTAATGAATTTTTTGTCACTTCGTTAATTTTTGTGTCATATTGTTATTGTATCAAAAGTATGAGCTGATAAAGAATTTACAACGAGTTCTACTTTTGTGAGAGACTCTTTTACATTTCTCATCTTTTCATTGGAATTAAGAATACTCTTTTTCTACTAAAAGGGCAAATTAGTACGCTAATTTTATTGAAATTATGTTTAGGTGCTTTAATTTGATGTGACGTGATTTAAGGTTTTTGAATAAACAATGATTGTAAATATGGTTGTTCTGAGTTCAGATGTTTGTCCTTTTTTTTTCTTTTTTTTTTCTATCTATTATATTATTAAGGAAATGAAAATGTTTGGAAGACCAAGTTACTGTGTCAAGACTCAAGTATCGGAGATGGTTAAGCTTTCTACCAATCAACATTAATATCATTCCCAGCTTAATTATAATTTAGTTATTAATTAGTACTGCAGTTTGTTAGTATTTTTATTTTGTTTATAAGTAAAAAATTTTACATTTGACTCGTATGACAACGAGTGTTTGAAGTTTTTCTTTACTTTGTCCTAAAGCAAATTGTTGATCCCATTGGAATGGCCCATCATGCAGCTTTTTTTATCTAAAGCAAATTCTTAAACAAATAGGGAACTTATTTAAGACTTTCATGGCTTAGCTTTTGTAGGATAATATTTAGGTATTCATTAGTGAGTGCCTTATATATTTATTTTCTAATTTGATTTAATAAAGTAACATCACGTCTTTTCTATTTTTTAAAGAAAAAAATAATAATAACATGTCCATTATTTTTTTAAACACTAAAACATGTATTAAAATATCATTGGACAAAATAAGAAAGTAAGTAGTCACTAATGAGTACCCAAGGATTATCTACTTTTGTATGCATTGTACATTGGGCTTCGTACTTTTATGTGTTTATGAAATGTTCCAATGCATGAGTGCGACTCTTTTAGATTGAGATTTTTTATAAATTTTTTATCATTTTATAGCTTAACGTTAATTTTTTTACTAATATTATAAAATATTATATAAAAAATTTTAAGTGACAGATAATTCATGAAATTCCTACATTTTAGAATCTTCTTAACATTTTATGGTTATTCACCTCGTGTTGCGGCACTCAACTAGAAATTTGCCTTTGAAATGAGTAGGAGAATATTCCAACGATACCTTGACTTTAGTAGTATTCATCCACTCATTTCAATGCCATCGTTGACCGCCGCAAGACGAGGTGAATTAAGTGGTGCGTCCCTCCCACTCTCCATCTCGATTTGCGTTTCTTTTCATGTTTCTCCTCTCTCTCTCTCTCTCTTCCTATCTCGATTTCTGCACATATTTATTAGGTCATCAGTGCACCTGGCTTTGGGTTGGTGAGATATTGTGGACAAGGGTCTTCACTGATTCTTTTTTTGGAATTTTTTTTGGAATCTGATGATCAATCAATTTTGTATGGTCAATTTTTATTATATATTATTTATATTTAATTTTAAATAATTTTAAGTCCTACGATGTACGATGAACAGATACGATTGATTGATCATTCGATTCTTACAAAGAGGATTCAGAGAGGATCCTATTCTAGATATTGTTAACACATCCACCGTCCATTTACAAATAAATTAGGGTGAAAAATAGTGAATGCAAACTCGAGGAAAACAAAGATAAAAGAAGTTTGTGAATGGTGAAGGAACTACCTGCTTCTCTCTTGTTTTATTTGAGAGATTTTTTAATGTGCCAGTAACATAACTTGTATATCAAGTGTAATAATATAATTAGTTAATAATTTGAAAAAAAAAAATTTCAACCAATTATATTATGACACTGATATACGAAATCGTATTTCCAGCGCATTGAAAAATTTCTGGCTTTATTGCTTACAAGAATATGCGTTGGCAAATAACAAGTTAACCATACGCAACGAAAAGTTTGACAAGTACCCCTGCCTAACCATGATTCATCACCATTGCCTTTGGCTTAGCAGCCCTCTCCCTTTCTCTCTCCTTTTCCTTTTAAAGTTTTAAGAGAGATTTCGCTCCACTGTTCATTGAGCGGGATTGATATAGTATCTCTGCATTGCATGTATAATGACCATATGTTGCCTTATATCGTAGAGCCAAAGAGGAACAGAAAGGAAAATACGATGATACTATGACATCCCGCTCCAAGAACACTAGAACGAAATCTCTGCTAAGAATAACATATATATATATATATATATATGATCTGTCTCACTCACAAAAAGAATAAGATTCGTGGCACATCAATATATAGCCAGGCAAATTCGAGAAGTCCACATGCACGTACACTTGTCAGTGAAGAACTTTTTTAATTACCAGCTTCAAAACCAAAACAAATTGGATTGATTTGGGTACTAATTTTGTATTGAATATTAGATCAGGGTACTAATCTGCATCGAATTTGATGATCAAACCTTCAAAATACAAATTGGAAAGAGCACTGTATAAAAAGAAGATGCTTTAAACGTCCGTCTTTCTAAAAGTGAGTGTTTTGTTTTGTTTACTTGCTTCTGCAAACTGCATCGTCATCTGCATGTGATGTGCGTGGAATCGGTGGAAAGCCTTTATGGAATTACAGATGATGAATCATGCATTCTGAATATGATGATATGAATGCCTTCTTGCTTTTGTGTCAAAGACATTGGTAACCCTAAACCCTAATCATGCATGGTTTGTCGTTGTAATTGTCGAAAGAGAAACACAAATCGTCTTTTCGACGTATAGAAATAGGAGAAATTCTTGCATTCGATTGTTTGTACATATGGTAACACACTGCAGGTGTGCCCAAATTGAGGACTACAAGTAGGGGCCCATCTGTTCTGAGGTTGATTCGTATTTTAACGGTTAACGATCGGCCGTAAGAATTTCTCCTTTTAATAAAAGATTCTTGAATACGAAAGACATAATGTGGGAGTGGCAACCTAAAAAATAGGTGGAGTGGGACCTACCCACATAAAAAGATTTTTTGGCTTCCTATGTTAGAGGAATGGAGTTTGTATAGTATGGACCGGCTCATTATAAGGATTTGTGAATTTTGAGGTAAGGAATCAACAACTATGGATCATGATTCATAGGCATGGTCAATAAGTGCCCATATATCACCATCATCACCATCACAAACACAAATATCGCCTCTCACCACCACAAATAGCACATATCTACATTTAAATGGACCTCCACAAAACTAAATAGGTACCCATTGACCATTCATAAGTTTATTAATCTATGCTATAATTATTAATTCATTCTACAATTTTCGTACAAGATATTGTAATAGTGTAGCTTGGTGAATTGTTGTCATGTAAGGCTCGTTTGAAAGTGATTTTGAAAGAGTCATAATTACTTCTGAAGAGAAGCACCTTCATGTGCTTTTATATAAAATCGCTTAAACTGTTTTTTTTTAATGATTTTATAACACACCTCCCATGTTATTTTTCTTGAAGAAATTACAGCACTTCCGAACGAGACCGTAATTACTTGCACTCGGTTGCTAATTAACATGCTACAAAATGTGGGTTGATTAGAGAAGAGATGCCCAGACTTTTTATCTACAATTTCCAAGTTTTCCAAAAAACTAATGAACAACAACTGTAAGCAACTCTCTCTCTCTCTCTCTCTCTCTCTCTCTCTCTCTCTCTCCCTCCTCTTTGCGTAGGTTGGAAGGAAAGGATAATTAGGCATCGACCGAGTCTTTGCCTTGCTTTATTGAAGGGGACCACTTCTTGAATGAAATGCCTTCATCATCACGGGTTGTTTAATGTTTGGGTAATACTGGGAAAACTAAATTTGCAAACTAAATGATGTGTTATTAATAGAAATGAGCGTGTTTATTAACATTAAAGTAATAAACCAATCATCGATTTTTATGTCCTTTAATTTTAAAAATTTAATCCACAAATTCAATATTCCTAGCATTACCCTGAACGTTTAGTCCTACCTCATCATCCCCCTCTTGCTGCTAATTTACATGCAAGCCCTTTCACCTCTGTAATGCACAATGTTAGCCAAAAGAGGTTGAGAGAAAGAAGCATCCCTCCTTCTCCCTTCTTTTATTTGGAGGATGTTC